TCGTGCCATTTAATGAGAATTGTTCCATGTGATCAATATATCATCTACATATAGATTAACAAAATGAGATACACACCTTTACGATTGTAGACAAACAGACTGTAATCACAAATAGATTCTTGAAAGCCAAGCTGAAGCAAAAACTCTGAGAACCGTTGAAACCAAGCCCTCAAGGCTTGTTTTAAACCTTAAATGGAGTGTTGCAACTTATAGACATGATTTAGGAATTGTTTTTCAATGAACCTCGATAGTTGGTGCGTATATACTTATTCATTTAAATAACCATGCTGGAAAGCATTCTGGACATGGAGTTGCCTAACATGCCACCTCTTTGAGATTGCAAGACTAAGCACAAGTTTTGTGGTGATGTGCTTTACTACAGGACTGAATGTCTCATTGAAATCCACTCCATATTTTTTATGAAAACCATTAGCAACTAGACGAGTTTTATGTCTCTTTATGGCACCGTCTACATGACTCTTAATTTTGAAAACCCATTTATTTGGCAGCAAGTTCATCTTGGGATGATATGGAACCAAACTCCACATTCCACATCTTTGCAAAACATTAAATTCTTGAACCATTGTATTCCTCCAGTCTTGGTGCTTGACAGCCTGACTAAAACATGTAGGTTCAACAAGAAAATGATCAACATTTACATGCATAGCATACTTAGGATTTGATTTTTGAATCCCAAATTTAGAACATGTCATCATACGATGTTCAAGCACATTGGGAGGCACATATTGCATTGGCACAGGTCTGGAGGCACTAACACTTGCTCATTTGATGATGAAAAGGACCATAATGGTTGGTTAAGTTATAAAGTCACGGTGGGAATAGGTTGGTAGATTCTACATAGGTTGAATATGTGGGAATAGTTGGATAAGGCTGAGATGTGGTGGAAGGTGATGTGGTTGGATTAGAAAAGGTTTCTGTTGAATAATTGGCCAAGTGGCCAAGTGGACAAATGTCCAAGAAAACTTTAGATTAAACAAACCAAAAGTGAGGAACACCTTCCTTGTTTTAGGGAGGAAAAAAGGGAAATGTTTGGTTGCTTTTGAAAAAGGTTTTGAAACAACACCCGTGAGTTTTGGCCTTTTTTCAAAGGCAGATGGAATTGGGTTTATTAGGCTTCTTCTTTTGCAACTTGACGAGTGCTTGTTTTTTGGAGAGAGGGGGAGCGGCAGATGAGAGAAACCAGGGAGAGCATTCGGCTCTCCCATTTGAATATGAGCTGCTCCTTCCCACCATTTGTAATAATCCCATTTTGTTAGTAATCACTCAATCAAAGATGTTGGTGCTACTTGTGTAGCTTTTGGGAGAGAAGGATTTTGATATGTGTTTCTTCTTCTCCATTTGTTTCTTAGTTTGAGTGAGAGCTATTGGTTGTATGGGGGATTTGGGTTTGAGAGTTAAAACTCTATTTGTAATCTCCTTTTGATATTAGTGGAATTTCCTCGCCGTCTCGAAACTAGATGTAGGCTTACGCCGAACCAGTATAAATCCTTGTGTCTTTTGGATTATTTGTCTTGTAATATTTTGCCGTATTAGCTTTGGTTTCATATTTGAAGCTTCCGCACAACAGTTTCTTGGGTCACGGCTAAAGTAGGCTAGCTAGAGTTAGGTAATTGAGGTAGATTTGTAGAGTGGGATAAGGGAAACGTGAACAAATATGTCAGGGAGGGAATCGTACCTTGTGTGTCAACATTTTCTAAAGGAGATGTGAATCCCTTAAAAGGGAAATTGTCCTCGTGCGAGACAAATATATACGTCTCGTGGTCAAGTCCATCCATTTGTAGCCTTGATGGTTCAAAGAATACCCTAGAAAACACAAGATTTTGACTTTGATTGAAGCTTATTCTGTGTGTATGGCATTAACCAAGGAAAATATGGACAACCAAAAACTTTTAACATTTCATATTTGGGTTTTCTTTGAAAAAGTTTCTCATATGGTGATAGATTAGACAAAACACGAGTAGGTATTCGATTTATTAAATATATATGTGGTAGTCAAGCATGCATCAAACCAAAATTTTGTGGCACCTAAGATTATGAAAGCATAACAATACTTGTTTCAACAATACGTCGATGTTTTCGTTCTGTAATTCCATTTTGTTTAGGATATTTGGGACATGAAAACCGTTGAGAAATGCCATTGAGTGCAAGAAAGTTTGGAAAGCATGATTTTTATATTCACCACCTTCATCACATTAAGGGTTTTGATTGACAAATTAAACATTTTTTTCCACTTTAGCTTTAAATTCGACAAAATTTTCAAAGACTTGAGATTTGTTTTTCATGGGAAAAATCCAAGAATATCTAGAATAATCATCCACAAAAAGCAAATAATAATGAAAACCTTCATTGGAAATAATTGGAGAACACCATACATCTGAATGTAAAAGTTGCAACGGAAATTGAGAAACAGACTCAAAGATATTGAAAACTAACCTAGTACTCTTTCTTAAGGGACACGACTCACAAAAAGTTACATTTGAAGTACCAAGAATTGGTACCAACTGATTTGAAATTAAAAACTTTACTGTTGAGTTGGCAGGATGACCAAGTCGAGCATGCCACTTTTGAACTGAGACTCTAATTCCCACAAAGGCTAAAACTAGATATTTGACTTGTCCACTACCACTTGGAAATGGGTATAACCCATTCTCACATCTCCCTCAGAAAAAGCGTCTTCCGGATCTTGAGGTCCTTGACAAGGAAAAATGTGGAAATATGAGTAGGTAACAATGGTTATCTAAAGTAAACCTATGTGCGGAAATAATATTTGTGGAGGCAGTGGGACAATGAAGAATGCTATTTAAGTCAAATGAGCAAGCATTAGTATATAATTGATTAGAACCATAGTGAGATATAGGGATGCTAGAATCGTTACCTACACCTCCTACACCATCATTACCATTGTATTCCTTTGGATTGACCAAATTTTGGATTTCTAGGGTACTATGCGCATTTGCACCTGTGTCCAGCAACCATGTTCCATTTGGCTGCTTGTTGAGAGTGATAGGATATGATGACGCCATTGTTGAGAAACGCTTGGTAGGAATTCTGCCTTCATATGTACCATTCATCATTTGGTAGCAATCAAGTGTTGGATGCCCAGGTTTGCCACAAATTTGACACACAATCCTATCACCATTTGGAACAAATTTTTCTGTATTACGTGATGTATTACACTGGTTGATGTTGCTATGAGCGTTAACACCTCAATGGTTGAAGGCTGCACCACGGTTTAGTGGAAATCCACCTCTTTCAAAGCCACGAGTTCGTCCACCACTACGGCATATTATAGCAATGAAGGCATTAACAGGAACATTCTCAACCAAATAAGGATTTTGCTCCGCTATTATGCGTTTCGTAGTCAACAGTAATGCCTCAAGGGTGGGATAAGTAATGGGCATGTCATGATCTTAAGTAACACCAACAGTCATCTCAAACGTCGGCCCCAGATTGTTCAACATATTATGAACTAGTTCATCATCATTCATGGGTAGCCCAGCTAGGGCAAGATTGTCAGTTATCGCATTCATGCGATCAAGGTAATCCTCCATAGATAGATCACCTTTTTTGGTCTGCAATAATTTATTTCATAAAAACAAAATGCAATTTTGTGAAGAAGACACATACCTTTGCTCAAAAGCTTCCCAAATAGCTCGAGCAGTCTGTTTGCTTGCCACCACAGACAAAACAAAAGCAGTCAAAGATCCATTGATCCAACTAAGGATCATTTGGTCCTGTATATCCCATTAAATCCCTACTCTTTAAATTGGGAAGAATTTGGGCCAACCCCAATGGGTAGTTGGTCCTATCAAGTTTAATGTGCACAACAGTAGTCATGGAGGATGAAAAAGGATGGAAATGGTTGTTTGGTGGGTGGGTTGGTAGTTTGGGAAACGGTATTGTTGTTTTGAGCCATAGAAGCAGTGATGGAAAAAGAAAGGTCTAGGGTCATTGTCATTAGACAAAAAAATACTCTAGAAACCATGTAAAACTTAGGAACTCAGGTTTTTCACTTCAGTTACCTACCCAAACAACTGTGGGTTGCATGTATATATAATAACTTCTTGATTACATCGTGAGTTTGAAAACCCAAATTACATGGAACTTTGAATTTGAAAATTAAAAACAAAAAGATGAAAAGATTACAAACAGATTACGAACAGTTTGACTACAAAAGACATTTGAAAACAAGTCCTACAAACATGGAAGATCAACCGGATAAGATTTCCAAGCACAACAAAACTCCTCAAGTTACGTGAATAGTAATTGATTGTTGACTTCGTCTAACAAGGTCGAGCAACATATACAAAAATGCCACGTTCTATAATCTACTTTTGGATGTTCCAATTATACCTTAAACAATAAAAAATAAAAAAGTACATTTAATTGCACAAACAAAGCGTGTTCTGGTTGCTAGCTAGTTATTAAAAGGGAAATTAACAACTAGAGGAAGTCTAGGTAAACATGTCCTTAATGTATATCAAGTAAGCATCAAATTAATGTGGTAAAAATGGTTAGTTTTTTAAATCTCCCATGGTAATCATGCATTATAATTCAAACCTTTTTCTCTCACCCGGTACATATCTATGTCAAAACCGAAAAGATTGAGTTTGCACAATAAAAATAATTGGTAATATAGAGATTTGCCTAACATATAAAATCATGCAAGATTCCTCCTCTCATCAATGTGAGATTCATGTCAACATGCATCCTCTAGCGAATTTTTCAGTCAAACACATGGACAAGACAAATGAGGTGATGTGATCATGTGAAGCACATATGGCTGTTCAGCTTCATACGTTAGACAACCTGCTTTGATACTATGAAGAAGTTTAAGTCCCATCATAAAATTAATTGAAAAATAGCTTAATTTACTTATAAACCCATGCAAGGAGATTCATGTCTTAGGACGTTTTCCAGTCGTTTTCATAACACCTGGTTTAAGTTCGAATCAGTCCCCCTCAATCCCTCTCTCTCTCTCTCTCTCTCTCTCTCTCTCTCTCTCTCTCTCTCTCTCTCTCTCTCTCTCTCCTAAAACATAATGCATCTACTAAAATCACCCACCGCCATGAGAGGAGACCATCCCCACCACCAAAAAAAATTAAAGCTAGCCAAACCCATCGCCTACCTCCTCCTCCTCCTCATCTCCTTTACCCTAGGCTACCACTCCTCTTCTTCTCCCACCACCTCCTCCTCACCCCCCTCTTTTCCTCCTTCCGCCCCCATTCTCCACCAACTAGCAAGCCTCCCAACTAACCTCGACCACTTCCTACTCACCACTCACTGCTCTCCCCCACTCCCTCCTCACCTCATCCGCCAAACTCTCCTTGACCACCTTTTCAACTCCACCTCCCCCTTCACCAACTTCCCCCCTCCCCACGCCGCTCCTCTCCTCCGCCGTAGCCGCATCAAAGGCTGGGGCTCCAAAGGCGCCGTTTTCCAAAACCTCATCCAAAAACTCAAACCCCAAACCATCATCGAAGTTGGCACCTTCCTCGGCGCCTCAGCCATCCACATGGCGGAGTTAACCCACCAACTCGGCCTCAACACCACCCAAATCCTTTGCCTCGACGACTTCCGTGGCTGGCCTGGCTTCCGCGGTCGATTTAGCGACATCAGCCTCCTAAATGGGGACGTTCTTCTGCTTTACCAGTTCATGCAGAACGTCGTGTCAGTAAACGCCACGGAGTCGGTTTTGCCCGTCCCGTTTTCGACCGGGGCGGGGCTTGACTGGCTTTGCCAGATGGGCGTGTTTGGAGACTTAATCGAAGTGGATGCAGGTCATGATTTTATTTCGGCATGGTCCGATATTAACCGGGCCTACCGGATTTTACGTCCTGGCGGAATAATATTCGGGCATGATTATTTTACGGCGGCAGATAACAGAGGTGTAAGAAGGGCGGTAACTTTATTTGCTCGAGTTTATGGACTTAAGATTAAGTTTGATGGGCAGCATTGGGTCATTGACTCGAGTTAAATAAACTTAATTTGATTGGTTAGGTCTCTATATATTAAACTATACAATGTAAATTTCGAAATCTTATAGATGATCAAAGCTTATAGGCTTATAGAGGGTTTTTTTTTTTTTTTTTTTTTTAAACATTATAGAGTTAAATGTATATTTTACTATGCTATGATTAAATTTGAGTTGATATTTTTATATTCTTAATTATTTAGTCATTTGATGTTTAACTATGTGATTAACGTTGACATGACACTTAATGATCTTTTATTAATGGCTTGATGCTTGGTATTGTAAGAAAAAAAATATAAAAGTGGCATTTGATGCTTGATTAATACTATTAGATTTGAAATAAATAGAAACTAATTACTTGAAAAAGAACAATGCGTGACATTTTGTTCGGTTTCGTATGGTTGTAGTTGCATTCATAAGTGATACATATTAGGTGCGTAATGAAACTGATATGATTGAATGATAAAAAGGGTAACGCTAATTTAAATTATATTTTGTAAACCATATAATGTGATTATTAATGATTGAATTATTATTTAAGTGTTGACCAACGTGCTTATTACCTCAATTATTTTGATTTTGTGCATTTATCATCCAAAATCTCACTACAAAAAAATATGTTATATACCGTGCAAAAAAAAACACTTTGTAATATCATTTAAGCGTGTAGCCTCAAACCAGTAAAAGCTCGAGTCATGAATAATATAGCTCACTTACGAAGCGTACGATAAATCACGAATAATTGCAACAAAAAAAAAAAAAAAAAAAAAAGATGTGAAATTTGTTAAGGAGATCTTATGTATTATCGATTGCACACTGTATATACTATTATTTAGGGTGATGCTATCTACATACCTATTTGTATCTTTTACAAACTTCTCTCAATTTTCGATCGTTGGATAAAATGAATTAAAGATCAATGAACAAAAACTAAAAAGGGTGTATGAGAGGTAAAAATGTGTGGGTGAATAGCACTACCCATTACTTATAAGTTAACGCTAAGTGGACCAAAATATTAAACTAAATTTACAAACTAAATGATGTGTCATTAATAGGAAATAAACACGTTAATCAATACTTAAGTAATAATCCAATCACTAATAACCACATCATTTGGATTAGAGCATACCATTTAAACTTCAACTTTTGTGCAAATGTGCCACCAATTTTTTGTTAATGAGTTAAGTTAATTTTCTGTTTTATAAAGGCATTTTGAAATGCTGCACAAACCTTGAAAAGTATTTCATAATTAGCTAATGCAAGTAACAAATGAACTATAGTTTAACTTGAAAGCAACTCCTATACACCCCAAACTTCATCGCTGGAATTTGTTTTGAGCTTTCTGCCTCGTACAATTATAAAATGGAGAAATTTTACACGAAGTGTTATTAACATTCCAAAAATCTCATTCTACACTCCTCACAAATGTATTTTTCTTCCTTAATATAGAAAATTTGGAGTGTAGAATGAGATTTTTGGAGTGCCAATAACAATTCCCTTTACATATATATATAAAAAAAAAATAGAAGAAATTAGGTTCTCATCCCTCTTTTTTTAACTCTATTTATTGAAACCTTATTCATTTTCAAATTTTAATCAAGGTCCCTTGGTTTTAATAAACATCATTAATTATTTCAATAATAAAATATTTTACATACCCAGATAATTAAATTTTATTTCTAAATAATTCAATTAGTGTTAGAACGTTACATTTAATATATTTATATTTATGGCTAAATTTTGTATCATATATTTTTATTTTTAGTTTGTACCCATTTTAATTTGCAACCCTTTTTTTAAATTGTGTCAATTTTCTATTCAATTTTAGTTTGTACCCATATATTAATTTCTTTTTGTGTCCATATTTTTCAAACTTTTATTTGTACTCATATTTTTTTGACCTTTTATTTATACCCATAATTTATTAATAATGTACCCATTTGTCTTAAAAAAAGGTACCACTTTGTTATATGTAAAATGTACCCTTTTTTTTTTTTTAAAGTACAATCTCTTTTGTGTAAAATGTACCCGTTATTTTTTTATATGAAATGTACCCATTATATAAAATGTATCACCTTTTTTTTGTATAAAATGTACCAACTTTTTGTATGTAAAATGCATCGTATAAAATTACCAATTTTTTGTATGTAAAATGTCATTAATATAAGTAATGACAAATCATGGGTTTTATTTAAGTATAATTTCTTTTAATATTTTCAACAAATTATGGATTTTATTTAAAATCTCATTAATATAAATAACTACAAATATCAAATTTTAATTTAAAAATTATAATAACCTATATAGAAATGCATTATTGTATTAATTTCAAGGACTTCAATCAAAAATTGAAAACCAATAAGGTTTCAATCAAAGAACGTTAATAAATAGGAACCGCATCCAAAGTCACCCAAAAAAATATGGACGAAATTGATATTTGCATTTGACATGTTAGAGCATATTCAACGGCCTCTACAAATTAATTAACATTGTTGCTTGCTAAATTTTAAGAGCTACACAAGATTTTATTTGATCCAACAGATTTAGTAAACTCGCGCATCAAATCTGAGATCTTTAGATTACTCTCTAATGTCATGACCTTCAAGCCCCTTCGGGCCAAACTTTTTCCAATTTTTTTCAAGACATAGGATCCTTCAATTTTGTTCTTTCATCATACATCGTAAGGTCAGAAATTATTTTAAATTATATTATTTAAAATAAACATAAATAATATCTGACGAAAACTAACCACACGATGTATAATGAACGGACAGAACTGAAGGATATTCAGAATCCTCACAAAAAAGATCTGACGAATATCATATCTCTTTTTTCAATTATTAAAAGTTGCGTCCTTGTCAACTTTTTCCGTATAGATCAATCTAGCTTCATAATAATATGCCCAATCATATTATGACATGTTTTTCTTGTTCAAAAACTACGGTTAATCCAATCATATCATGACATGTTTTTTTTCTGGGAACAGAGCTCAAAAATTAGTTTCAGTTTATGGGGACAGATTTTTACAGTTAACTCATGGTCTGTAAAATTCAAAACCGCGTACGAATTGATTTTTCCGGTTTAGTCCAATTTTATAAACCCAATGGACAAAAGAAAACCAACCCAAACGATTTGGTTTGGTTATTTTTCGAGTTCACAGTTGGCATGCCATGCCCTAACAAATACCATAAACGTAGTTTGCGTCTACATATTTCTCCTCCAAAGCTATATCTTGCTCTTGTTGATATACAAATACAACACCAGATCATAACCAAACCTTTGTCAGCCTATACATGCAATGTGTAAGAGAAGTAACAACTAGGCAAGAGATAAATTAGTGAAGAAAAAAAAACCAAAGAACACTAAGTTTTATGCTATTTCGCGTTTAGTGAGCCTAGATACATTCAGTTTGGAGGCGAAGAAGGAAATCCACCACAATGAAAAGAGCACTTACAAAAAATAGTGTTTATCTCACAACTCGTTTCTCCAGTACAAATCAGTTGTGCAGCCCTCAAAATAACCAAAGAACAGTTTACTTTTCGGTACGTTTAGATGGGTAGAAGGGCAATTGATTCTCTTCCACCCAAACTACATGTAACTCCGCCCCTAACCCAAGTTTTTAGACTGAACTCATCCCTCAAATTACCACTAACAACATGAAGACCTAGACAAGAAGAAAATTCTTTCAAAAGTGCCCTTCAATCTTATGTGCATGGGGTTCTTTTACTAGATCCCCTCAGTATAAGGTCTAGAAAACTCAAAACCTTAAAGCCTGCTTTGTTTGCAGCTCGTGAGATGCAAATAAAAATATGGAAAGAGGAAACAAAATTGGGTTTTTGGAGTAAAGGTCTACATATATCTCGGCGAGACTTCATCAGAATTAGGTTAGAGAGGATTGACTTGGATATGACTATTTACTATATTAAAGGTATTTTAAAGGAAGAAATATATGACAAACTCCTTATTTTATTGCTAATGAAGTACTTGTCACTTTTAATTCTACCATTTTTGTAAGGATTAGTAGGGACATTTTTCTTCATGAGTAACTTTCAACTTGGAAAAATAAGGAAATTGCCATCCATTTCTTCTTTTAAAATCTCTTCAATAGTGAATAGTTTTGGCTAAGTCAATCATGTATCAAACGAGGCCTAATAGCTATTGGAGAAAAATACTGGTTATCATAGCCACGATTTTTAAGCATAATCGTGGTGTATACGTTTGAATATAAAATTTTGCTTGTGGTTCTGAGGAAAATTTTATATGTTATTACCTTAAAAATTCCATGAAGGTGAAGTTTAGGTAGCAGTAATCTTAACAATTATATTGTAATTAGAGTGATTGTGTCTAACAAAGACAAAGCTATTGATTGTCTAAATAATTGTAATAAACTAATTTAGAATATCTTATGTCAAAGATTTGGGGATGAATCAAGATCCAAACCTTAATTGAGCATGCAACGTCACTTCCCATACTCAAATTCTTATCCCCAAAAATACTATATATCCTCGTTATTGTTCACTTAAAAGAAAAGCAATGTCACGTTAGTTAGAATAAATGTGCTCCTTTTATGCACCCAAGTTTAAACTCTCTTTGCAATTTAGATTAGCTTAAAATAGAATATCGTTTATATATATGATGATTTATGCACATCATTTTTCTCCTCCTACACACCCCTTCCTCTTTTAGCCGTTGCTGAAAAAATCAAATGTCAAAATTAAGATGGCAGGAGAAAGCGAATATCATTTATATATAACATAGTACATGTATCTTTAATACCACTAGGAAACTGTGAGAACCAAATATAATTATGATGATAATGTTGTCCTATTTTGCAACCACTGCATTATCTGCCATATTGGCTTCTTGAAAGATACGCTTGACTTTGGCATGTAGATATTTGAAATCTTTATACGACAGATATAATTCTCCAAAAAATTTGCGCTTTGCCGTTAATTATGTTGATGAAAACCTGTGAATCTCCTTCCACCTGAATATGTTCGAGACCCAACCTTGATGCCCAAAAGAAGACCATGTTTAAGGCCTGCAGCCTCGGCTTGCAAAACTGAAGCATATCCTAAAGCTTTGTTCTGAGTTTTCTTTTTCCTTTTAAGGCTTTGTTGTTTTGGGCTCGTTCAAAGGAAATATAACACAAGAAAATGAATTGGGCTTTGACCATGAAAGCAACCAATTGGCATTTGTTGCAGGAGACCTTTGAAGGAATGGAGTTTTAACGAAAAGGGCTTAGGCCAACAAATATTTAACCAAAAATCATCTCAAAATGTTATTTAACCAAAATGACTCAAAATTTAATAAAAAAACTATCTAAAACTATTGTCTTTGGGTCAAACTTACAAGCCCAACCTGTTACAAATCTACACTTACATAAATACTCCTAATTCGATATTATCCTGACTCTTCACCAACCTCAACACAGCACGAAACCGTCATAATAACTCCATGTCTTCCTATCAAATCGAATTCCTCATTTCAAAAACAACCAAATCAAAGTACAAAAAGGAAGTATTCATCAGAACAAAGTCGTCGAAACAAGTTCAAAGAAGTTTAATAGCAGAAGCCGACGAAAAAGTGTCGGGAAAAAAAATAACCAAAACATAAAACTATTTCTGAAGAACCCAAAACATAACACTGTATCTGGAAAGAAAATAACAAAAATCTAGAAACGGTGACTTAAATTCCAAAAACAGTGATTTAAATTTCAGAAACAGTCTATGTTTTAACCTTTGACTAT